GTGTGTGTGTGTGTGTGTGTGTGTGTGTGTGTGTGTGTGTGTGTGTGCAGGTGAGACAGACCATCTGCTTCATGGTCAGAGGTTGTGTTTCTCTTGTTTTGGAAGAGCCTCAAAACAATGTCATCGCCTCTATTTTTTTCTCTATACGTTGTTTCAATTGTTTCCAAAAATATGGTGGTGCATACTATACTTGCACTATCAGCATGTTTGCATTGCCAATACTAACATGTTAGCATTTGAGTACATCCTCACTGATCCACTAGCATGGCTGTCATTTGTATTCTTGAGTGTTGAGTTTGCTTCTTTTTGGACATATGCTCACTTGCCTGTACTCCACTTTGTGTGCTGGTATAGAGTCACTGTGCAGACATAAATCAACATTGAGCATATCACATGCTCTTTGAATATTGGAAAGAAAGCAGAGGGTAGTGTTTCATACTGTGCACTGCCAACAGTGCAGGAAACATTGTCCAAAAAACGGTGATTTATTAGTTAATATCCTGGTCCCTGTTAATGCAGGTACGTGTGACCTTAGCAGCTCTTAGTGGGTCAGACTTGAAGTGTCGCCGATTGCTTTGTGCTGATGGCGCTTCTGCCGCCTTTTGTGTCGACTGTAGTTCAGGTTAAAAGCCATATTGAGTGGCAACCTTCTAAATTTAGGCTGCCCTTTCCAGAAAGCCGAGGTTAAGTGTCTCCTCCTAACGTCCTTCTTCTTCCACTCTCTCAACTCTCTCTCCTCCTCCTCCTTCTCATTTCTCTTCATCTCTTGGTTTGTCACTTTGTCATTATACCACCCTCTATTTCCGCTCACATTTGCTGCCCCTTATTGCTTTATTCCCTGTCCGCCCCCTTTCACCCACCCCTTTGCAGCATAAACGCCACGTCCAGACTACGACGAAGTATGTGGAGCTGATCATTGTGGCTGACAACAGAGAGGTAAGCAGAGGCCACACCGAGTCGACCTATTCACCCTCCGCTCCCGGTCCCACAGGAAAGGGGCTCAGAGGTCACATGCTTAGCTGCCCCTCAATCCCCTCGAGACACAGATAAGATGGCTCCGCCTCTGATGTGCACTCTGAATTATCTCAAAACTCAGACTTAAGATCTTAAAGAGGGCAAAGAGAAGAGAGTGTGTCTTGCTGACATGAGACACATAGGTCAATGTATCGTGCTTTAGAGCCACAGAAAGTGGATAGACGCTGGATATAAGACACGGTGGTAAAGGTTATCGCTTTAGCAGAAGCTCCTCTGAGGAGCTCTTTGATGACAGCAACTGCAGCAGAAGCGCCAGTGGAATTAACCGCGACACCCAGTGAAAACATTTCTGCAGCTGACGCAGTGTTGATTTGTCCCAAATAATGCCTTTGATGAAAATAAACATTCCAGAGGGTTGTTCACCTCTCTTTCCCCTTGCTTTATTCCGCCTGCTTGTGTTCAGTTTCAGAAGCAAGGCAAGGACATGGAGAAGGTCAAGCAGCGACTGGCTGAGATCGCCAATTACGTGGACAAGGTAACAATCAAATCAACAGAGGGGATGCGGTGTAGGCGTGTGATTTACTAGAGGTCACATCAAGGCTGCTGAGAATTAACCGACTTGCGAGCAGAGGCTGATTGGATTATGAATGGATGATCAATTCCATAACTCGACTGAGAAATGTTTTGAAGAGACGCTGTGATAAAACGGGCCGTGGGTGGCTGTTTAATAAAACAGAAGCTGCAAAACATGATTTATTCATATGGCAAGTCATATGTTGATTAATGTTTAAGGATATGTTGAGTGCCCCTTATCATTTGTAAGCGAGTATTTGAATAGTATTTCTGTTTTAAAAGGACCAGTGTATAGGATTCTGGGGGATTTAATGGCAGACATGGAATATAATATTCATTACTATGTTTTCATTTGTATATAATCACTTGAAACTACGTATTGTTGTGTTTTCATTAGCCTAGAATGAGCCGTGTTTCTACAGAAGCCCAGAACGGACAAACCAAGCACTGGCTCACCCTCAGATGCCACTAAATCTTACACACTGCTCCTTTAATAGGCAATGTGCATCGAAGAGAAAAACCGAACATGTCAGAGAGAAAGATTATACGCCCTTAACCTAAAAACACGTCTCTCTCCACTCCACTCTCAGTTCTACCGGGCTCTGAATATCCGTGTTGCCTTGGTGGGCCTGGAGGTGTGGAGTGATGTGGACAAGTGCCCCATCACCCAGGACCCCTTCACCACCTTGCATGAGTTCCTAGACTGGAGGAAGGTCAAGCTGCTGCCCCAGAAGCCTCACGACAACGCCCAGCTAATCAGGTAGCTCTGCTTTTGAAGCACACACATGTAATGGTTGTGTTCCATTATCCATGTCGCTATTTGAAAGTCATGCTTTTATTCCAAAATTGTTTTGGAATAAAACTCTCCCAGGTACCTTTACATTGACAGTTGAAGTGTTGATGATGTGAAAGTCTGACTCGCTGGATTTAGACTGTGGGTATAAGTCTGCCCTTGGCTGTGTGTATCATGCAGCATTCTCCTCGCCTTCCGCTATCTATTTTGCCAGGGCAGGACAATTGGGACTGGTTTAAAGTGTCCGTTCCTCTATACTAATATGATAATGTCTACAGCCAGACCTTTCCTTGGCGCTGACGCAGCGCTGTGGAGATTGGTCCTGCTATGCGAGACTAATGATGTGATGACTTCTGTTTTCTCCCCCTTAGTGGGGTCTATTTCCAGGGCACCACCATTGGTATGGCACCCATCATGAGTATGTGCACAGCAGAGCAGTCGGGAGGAATCGTCATGGTACGTAAACCTATGTGCCACAGAATGTACGCATGCTCAAATTTCTTTGATCCATCCTAAAGGAGTACAAAAGGCATATTTTGGGGTGTCTCTGACTTCCAGAAAGGAGACTGGACTTATTTGATCACTTCCCTCCTCCTGCCCCTCATTCTTTGCCTGACTCTCCCCCTCCCTCCTGTCTGACATAATACTCTCATATTTCTCCCCTGAGTCTCTTGTGTAAGAGTTGAGCTAAGGATTCCAGAGTTGATATTAAGTTGTATTAACTTCAGGGAACACACATCATTGGGGTTTTTTTTTTCCAGGAAGGCCAAGCTGGTATGCATAGTACCCTCCACTTAGTGCTGATAAATCAGAGTGTGTATCGATTACACGAGTGGAAACTATTGCTTCCTAATGAGGAGCAAGAAATGAGTGAATTCAAGAGTACAGTATATCCCCGCCTGAATGAAAAAACGAAGGGGCATGGTGTAAATGATTATCCCGCACAGAACTCCAACTCTATGTGCTCAAGTCATGTCGTATTAGGGCAAGTCATGCTATTATTTTATACCCTATGTCCCCAATTGGCTGTTTGTCTTATAGCCTGGCTGGCTGGTGGTAAGGTTTACAGCTATAGTCCCCAGATGGTTCTTCACTCTTGTCCTCCCAGATGGTAAAATCGGGACTTGGCCATTGCGATAGAGCTCTACATATGCACATACATCAGGTCAGAGACATAAAGGATTAGCGTCCAACCGCAGGCTCTTCTGCTGGGCAAATCACGACCCTGTTGTCTCAGTTGTCTCCCTTCGTTTACAAAATACCTTTGAACTCATTAGCCAACTTCCCCTATGGGTCTCATTGTTATGTTTCTAGGCAGTACAATCTTAAACATCCATCCCTAAACCATCTGGTTTATCTATTTACCAGCCCCGAAATGCTACATTAATTTCATTGGTGTGGCCAAACAGAACACAGACAGTGGCATGTAGCGAGCACTTCAGCCTCATCAGTCAGCGAAGGTGTCTTCGTTGTTCCAGGAAACAGGAAACAGAGGGTTTGCTTTGCCTTAACCCAGGCTGCGCAGCGGCGAGTGCAGACAGCTGATGACCGTTACTCTCAAAAGCCCCCAGCAGAGCACTTCATCAGTCTGAGCTGGACTTGCACAGCGCTACTGAATAATGCACAGTGACTGAAGACTCCAGAGGCATGGTGCTCTGACGCACAGCTCTGCATCCACGAAGAGCTGATAGTTGCTGCCGCTACATTATTTATCTCAGCCTCGTCGTTGTGTTCATGTTTTACACACCTTGCAGGAAATAGCGGCACCTCTGCCAACAAAGCTCTTCCTCATCTTCACCGTGCATACTCTAGCACTGGCTGTTTTTCATTTCTGTTGTCTCTGCTGGCTGTGTGATTTTTCAAGCTGTCCTTCTCAGTTTTTCAACCTTTTTGTCGGTTTTGCTCTGAGGAGGGTCCACGTCTTTGTTTGGGTGAATGAGGCAGCACATCTGGCTGTGTCAAAGTTTGCCGAGCTACCTGAAGGTGACAGCCATCAGTCTGCTGTTTCATTTCTCATTTGAGTGCCACAACGTCGAGCGGAGAAAACGCTCTGATAAGCACAGATCCAACAGCATTTGTTTAATCTTGGCAATATGCAATTACACTCACTTGTTTTGAGTAATCTTTCTCCAGTGGGTCCTGTTGGGAACAATTTGGCTAGCATAACATGTTTTATTATTTGTTATTTTCCTCAGAGTATGTAATCAGAAATGTCTGTTTTTAATTAGCTACAACGAAACTGAACACGTTTTATTATAAGACCTTGCTTGTAGCTTCATGTCTCGCTTAGATTATACTTAACAAATCTGATTCATAAAGAAAAGAGGTTTTAGATGAAATGTTGGTCAGAGGCAATGTCAAGTTCAGTTCCTGCATGATTAATGTTTTTGTTTGTTTTTCTTTGTAGGACCATTCGGACAACCCCCTTGGCGCTGCAGTCACTCTGGCCCACGAGCTCGGACACAACTTTGGAATGAACCATGACACCCCAGAGAGGGGGTGTGGCTGCAGGGTGACCGTGGATCGTGGAGGCTGCATCATGACTCCCTCCACGGGGTGAGTCACTGCTTCTATCCTGACAATTAGGGTTCAATAGATCTTCAAGATAGCTGACTCTGCACTGCAATATACATTATTGGCGGAGTTTAATTTCAGCTAGTCGGCCTCCATCAGCCTTAGGACATATGCTATCATTCACAGCTGCAGTGCACTCCAGCGAGGCTGCTTTTGGTTCACCTTTTCAAATGATGTCCTACTCCAAAACCATCTGAAATGCATCATCATGATGTCAAGCCTTCATTAAGTTTGCATTAATTCAGTCATTTATTAAATACAGTGAGTGTCGCACTAAAGAGCCCAGATTGTGACCATATGTAAATATTATTCCATGGGCGCTCCATTTCAGATTTATTGTCTATAGAGCAGGAAGCAAATAATGCCGTTGAACCGCTGGGCCGTTGGGTTTATGGCAGATTCAACAGCTGTGCTAATGTCCTGAAGCAATAGGACTCATTCTGAATGGGAAGCCAGTGGTTCAGTGGTAGTGCATGGCCACAAAAGTACAGTTTTACTTATCCTGACACAACCTAAAAAAACCCAGCCTAAAAAAACAAGTGTGTATCTAACAACTAATCAAGATAGAGCTGTAGTTGTTGTACAGTTGTCACTATAGATTGTAATGTCTAACATCTCGCAGTAGACCGAGCAGCTGGATAGGGATGTTTTTGGTGGAAACATTGGGTATCAGTTCCAGCTCAAGGTCTAGTGGTCTGTGGGAGCCTCAGTTTGGGGTTTATGCTGGAAACATCCCTTTGTATTTGGTTTGGATCAGACCCATGAAAAACAGGGTAGCACTATTCTTGATTACAGACAGATAAAGCAACACAGCAGCAAGATGTAGATTTATATTTAACCGTGATTGAGGGTATCCCCGGTCAAGGACTTTATCCTAAAATTGGCAACAAGAAAAACAGATAGAAAAGTGCAAGTAATACTTGTTTCCATCTTTCTCTGCTGGCTCTCTCCCTTTCTTCCTTATTCACAGCCAGTTAGAGTTGTTCTATTCTTTGACATAAATGCAACTTTAATGTCGGAAAATCTCTCTGCAAGTCCTAATAAATAGTTAAATACCTCTGAAAACTGTTTATCATACAGTTTTTTATGTAAGGAAAACTCACCTCTCCCTTAAAATATCTCAATCTGAAGTCATACGTAGCAGTGACGAACTTCTCCAAATGTGGAAGAATCTAGTTTGAACCAAATATAAAATAGTAAGAAATACATAAGACGTGAATATTTAGTTTTTTGTCCTGCTATCGACAGAGGCTTCCATCTGACAAAAGAACGAAATGATCTTGGTTTCAAAATAATCCCCTGTAACCCTCCTTATTGCTCCATATTGCTACTCTGCTGTTTAATCCAGGATTAAGGAAGCACTACATTTGAATAAGGATGTTAAAGAACTCTGTATTGCCTCATTCTGCTTCCTCAGTTAATTCTAGGTCAGCACCATATACGCTCTGCCTGAGGCGGTACGACATCTCCCATGAGTCCAGCTCAAGCCCCTCGTAGCTCCATGCTTTAAAATGCCGTGTGGCCACACACATGGAATCTGCTGCAATCATTTGAATGTTGTCCATCCAGCTACAGTTATTTGTTTATAGCATTGACTGGCGTGTTTTTCTTGGCAGGCGACCAGCTTCTTTCAAAGCAACAATGTGATCATGCTGAATGGGTCTTCACAATGAGTTGGTACAAAAGCCCCGCTGATTACCAGCCCCTGCATTCAATAACTGAAAGTACGAGCGAAACTTGACAACACTCGTTCAGTATGGAGTAGCTAAAGTTTTGTTTTTGCTGCTTTGATTGAGCTTTAATGTTAATCAAATAGAGGAATGTCGACATTGTCGCTGATATTCACTGATACCCATCAAGCTCTGCTGGCCTTGCTGCTGGAGATAATGGGATCCAGTTCATCGTGATTATACTGGGGGGTTAGGGGTAGGTGGTGGTGGTGGGGGGGGGGGGCAGTAAAACTACAAGCTGTCCCAGTGCCAGCTGCACATCCGCACAGAGCACTGCTTGTTTCCTGCTCACATTGGTCGCGGTCAGTTGTCGCGTCCTCCCTGACCATCCCGCTATCCCCCCCCATTAGCTTTAAATGAGAACAGGCTGGTGTCTCCATCCTTTGAGATTGTAACACACATGAACACAAACACACTAACTGGGTATTCTATGGACAGAGGGACATATGTTCACAAACATATACATTTTGCATCATTATCAGATTAAAATAGGAACTCAACAGGGTGCTGTGCTTCATCCACCTCTCTTGGTTGGTATCTTGCTTAGTTCTTTCATCAACCAAGTGTGGCTTGTTACCACCATTGCCAGGAAACAAGATTGGTGACTGTTTTGAGGTCTGGGCGGAGACACATTCACATGAATTTTCTTGCAGTCAGGGTCCTAATTACATTCTGACTGAAGCACAATTTGGCTAAAAATAAATTTGCACCAAAGGGTTTTGGAAAAGAACATCCAAATTGTTTTATGGAGCTGGTTTCCAGATGTGAGTAAACTATTTATTTGTCTGGTTGAACTATTTCTTCAATTTAGAGAAAAAGTCGTGAAAATGTTGCAGCATTTACGCAGCATGGTTTGATTATTTGCTTTGTAATCAAAATGTGTTTCATTATAAAGTGCCATGATATATATGTTCCTATGAAAATAAACGTGTAGTCACTTGCCATCTAAGTCAGTCACACAAACTCAGATGTTGATGGACAGAAAGACTACAAGATACATTATTAAGACAGGGTTCGTTCACACGTGGGTCAAGCCCTGAGTAAGATGATGACTGCTGGGAGCGAGATTGATATATTTCCCTCGTCATAAAATAATCAGGAATCACAGAAAGTGAGTCAAAGACCACGGGATGCCATGGAAATGTGACCCGTGCCCCACTGAAAAACAGGAACTCTCTAGTATGCCTTGTTTAATTGGGTCCATAGGGAAATCAATGTGAAAATGCTCTTCAGTATCTACAACGTAGACCAGACTGCCAGGCACCAAAGGCCACAACAGATCATATCACCTCATGTCATCACCCAGAGCTTAGGCTCTACATGCTCACGGAAAGCCATAAAATGAATAATACAAGTGTAGTGACTGTGGTTTTGAATAACTTAAGCAAGTATGAAATATTTGTCATAGTTACAGTTGTCACAGTCAGGTTTGAATTAACTTTGCGTGTCGGAAGATCGAGGTCTTCCTAAATGTAATAAAACTGTGACAGCAGAATGCAGACATAGGCTCACAATCAGTATTTGCAGATTTTGCATTTTTCACCAAAAATGCTCTCAAGGACGGCGGAGAATGTTTTGGCAGATGTGTCATTGGAAAGGCCAGCAGCTCTGATTCATAGCCTCATCAGTGTTTTACGGCTGAATAGATGTGACATAAGCTGTCTGTGGAGGGCGTGCTGGATGGGTTTACCCTGCGTTCTGTGTGATCTGAACCACAAGGACAGACCGGCAAGGAGGAGAGAGACCTGCCCGGCTAAATTTGGGTTAAAGTGCTCTGTCTAATAATGTGTCTGAAGAAATCGCTTGTGAAAAAGGTTTGGATTTATGACCATAGTCTGCAGCAAAATGATACTCAAACCCAACCTTCATGTGTTGGTCAAGCAACATTTAAAGGTACTGTTTGTGGCATTTATGGGGATCTTTTGGCAGGAATGGAAAACAATATCAATAAGGATGTTTTCTGTAGTGTGTATTCACCTGTAAATAAGAATCAAGGTGTTTTTGCTCAACAATGAAAACTGTTAATTAACTACATAATTGTACTTGAGTCATCAAACAATGCAGGATGTTTTAAATGCCACAAACGTTGCTGCTTTTCTGGATCTCAGGCCAATTCATTTTGAATACATAAAGCAATTTTTCAATTTGACAAGTTAAGTCAGACAAACAGCAGGTCAATGCAAAGTAGAGACATGAGAAAAGAAACAGGTTGTGAATGTCAGAATCCCTTTAGTCCTTTTGTATGTCTCTACTGATGACTTATTCTCTTACTCTCCACAAATATTTGGGTTACCTGTCACAGTTCATCTACCCCCCTGTCAAAGCAGAGGAATGAGAAAATGTCTGAAAGCCTTCATCACTGTAGCATTATCACAGCGTGTGGCAGATCATAGAGGCCTGTAATAGATCTGGGAATGATTCCTTATCACCAGACCTCCCACAGATCCATTAAAGCTTTGTCTGGCCATTGCTGCACCGCAGTTACAGTAATTGCTTTGTACACTCTTATCAACCATCAACTGCAGTACCTCTGAAGCTTAAGAAACAAACTGTAGGTTAGAGATGAACAAAAGAACACAGAGAACAGGGCATAATTGATATCCATAATGGAACTGCAGCAGGACCAGATGGAAAACAATGCAGCAGTATGAGACAGAACAAAGAGCAGTCATAGAGACCAGGCAGAGGTGAGCACGACTCATCCTTTGTGAAGCCAGAACAGGATGAGAACAAGCCCGGCCTTTTCTTTTGAGGCGGTGGCCCAGACACCCATGGGATGAGTGGCTGTCTAGAGTGTCTTTAGTTCGCCATGAGCCCCAGATGTGCCCACCGTGGCACTGCTTTACTTGCCCTGGGGCCCACAGCTGCTAAATGCCATCCACTGTAATTTATCGGTACCCCTGCCTTTTTTCTCTTACAGCCATTACTCCTCCTCCCACCCCCACACCATTGCAGGGTAGACCAATTATTTCTGTGTTGGCTCTCATAAAGAACAGCTGGATCCTCAGCCGCTCACGTATCTTAGGGACGTTAGTGTTTGTCATGAATTGCATTGGCTGGTAACCGAAGAACAGGGCTGAGTTCATGGAAATTGAATGAATGCAGCAAAACAAGGGGTGCAACTTGAACAAGCAAATTTGGCTGGGGCTTTGGGGGCAAAGAGGAAATCAACAACAGCAGTTGCTAAGGAAGTGGTCTGCCTGTTGAACAGCAGCCTTGACAGCTGTTCATCATAGCAAGATTCCCTGAGGGGCTCAGCGGGGAGGAAGGGGAAAAGAGGGCGCAGTAATGGCTGTTATTACAGCTTTCCTTATTGCTCTTTCCTTTTGCCATTTCATGTCATTACAAATCCACTCTGATCTTTTGCTTTTTATCCGGAGAAGTGCAGAGATCCGCTGCGAGGTACCCCACTTTCACCGAACACAACCTCTGGATAGTATTGACGTTAGAGAGCAGCGAGTCGTGTGTTTGGGGAGGGGGTCAGCAGCAGGAGCTGATGTAAGCCGCCTCCACACATGATAGAAATCAAAGGCAAGCAGAGAATGAGGTCATGTCAAAACATTCACAGTGTCATGACATACTTTGCGTATTAGATGAGAAACCCAATCAGAGAAAAACAGTTTGAAAAACCTTTCAACATTGAGCTGCATATAAATGCCTCCTTGTCTGAGATGAAGAGCTCCAGAGTGTAAATGGCTATTTTACAGCTTCAGTGTCAGTACAGCCAATGGTTCTGTCCCCCACGCCTTATAGCTTGACAACTCCACCACATTTAAACTCACGTATCACTCATAGAAACACATCAATGAGCATGCATCCTTTGCGCTGCCAGGGATAGTTTTGTGACTCTCTTGATGCCATAGCAGGTCAGGCTGTGTATGAATACGCCTTACGCACAAGCTCCTTTTGAAATATGCTCGTTGAAAAATGTGTTGATATTACCAACTGTGACATGTTTGCTGTAGTTTATATCACGTACATTTTCTAGATCAGAAACACTTCGCAAGCTAAGTAGATCATTCCATGATACATGATACATGATACATGATACAAAATACATGATACACTGAATATGTGGCATGTGATTGATTCACTCTGTAGGCAGTTTGCTTATCTGAACTTTCCTTGCTGTTCAGACATTCAAACGCCTCTGAAATGGGCACATTTTGTATTTTAAAAAAGTACAAAGTTTTACGGGCAAACATGCGGTTTGACTGCGGCTACGTCTCCTGACTTCCAGCTGTTGAGTGTGTTGTGCCTCTTGAAAGAAACATTTTGGCATCTAAGTTGATCTCCCACATATTGTCTCATACGTGCACTCATCTGTGTGCACAAAGACACACACAGATATAAGTGAGCATATTACATACAGATCCACCCATTCTGACCTTGTTGGTCTGACTTTAATGGTGTAGCTGGAGGTAGTAAAAACCTTTTTTACCATAAACACAGGACAAGATACACTCTGCACATATTAATGCACACTTCACACACACACACACACACACACACACACACACACACACAGTTATCTAAGGCACTATATTATTAGAGAAATAAAGCCACATGAGGCTTTTGGCAGACAGAGCTCTGGGCTGTGAGCTTTCCCCACAGAGAGGACCACCCTCTCTGTCCACTCCAAAAACAATATTAAAAACACACCATCCCCGTTTCTCCCAAATTTATTGGTGTTGCAAGTCTTGCGAAGGAAGCACTTTTTGGTTTGAGTTTTTATGATCCCACATCTCATAAACCATGCTTTATCAGATCTGCCTCTCTCCATGGAGGAAGCCGTCACCGGGGCTCTGTGCTGTTCGCATGCTAATGGTCCTTCGGGGAGGTTGCCGAGCTCCAGCGGTTAATTGATTTTGTGATTAGCAGCAATTAGCGCTGATTACATCAGACTGACGAAGACCCTAGTGGGGGATCTCAATCGTCTTCCTCCTCTCTCTCTCTCTATTTGTGTCACTCACAAAACCTTTCTTTCCCTCCCAGGTATCCGTTCCCCACAGTGTTCAGCAGCTGCAGCAAGAAGGACCTCACGGCCAGTTTCGAAAAAGGCGTCGGGATGTGTCTGTTCAACATGCCTGAGGTCAAGGTGCTCTACGGTGGGCAAAAATGTGGCAACGGCTACGTGGAGGAGGGAGAGGAGTGTGACTGTGGAGAGCTTGAGGTAAGAGTGCCATATAGACCTCCTACAATTCCTTTAGCATTCTCCTTTTATGCCCCTTCTGTCGAAATCAAAATCTCTTTCCTAACTGCCACCAATGAATCATTCTTAATTAGGTTTCCCACTTTTGAAAGACGAATTAAGCAGATGCACTACTGGGGGTTTCTGTAGCTTTCCTGACAGAAGCATGGCACAAACCAACATTCACCAAAGTAAAAACAAATATCGACGCAGAGCTCTCGTAATTCAAACACAGTCCTCAGAAAATGAGCTTAGAGATATGAGTGTGAATTTATTCATCCTCTGCACTGAAGAAGTGTTTGGGAAGAGGCTTGTCTGATCGCGGTACAATTCACTGAGAGTAAACATCGCTGGCGGCTCACCCTGTCAGCCGGTGAATTATTCAAATGACTCCGCATTGGCATGCACATACGTAATGGTGGCACACGTTGCTAACTGCTGCGACTGTGGGATGATAAAACAGTTCATCGTGATGCAGCTGGCAATCTGCAGAAGCAGACTGACAATAACGGAATTATGAAATATGAAGGAGACATCTATAATGATTTGTAACAATATTTTAAATGATGTAATAGCCGACGTGAGAGAATGCCTCGTTGTCTCTGGCGATATGTTTACACCTTTATGCCCAGCGAGTCTTTTTGTGAGCTGTTCAGGCTTCAGCCAGGGATCAGGCTGAAAGTGGCCTTGTCCTTCAAAACAAAGAACTGTCATAAGCCTCGCAGGCCTGAGCCAGCAGAGATAATAAAGCTCTCCGCCGACTTGAGCGACGTCATGCCAAACCAGGCCAGAGTTCTGAGACAGCACCCCTTTCCACCATTAAAAAGCCTCATTAAAAAGCCCGGGTCCTATTCCCCACAATCACAGGCTACTTCTTTTCAGCATGACTCCACCGCCTCCTTTGGCCCCGGGGACCATGGGAAAGGCCCTTAATGGATCTCAGGCTGAAAAGAGTTCTGGGAGGCCCGTCATGTCAGCTGTGACCCCTGCCAGCTCCGTCCGTCTACTTCCTTCTGACTCTAGCTGCACTCGGCTGAACAGTGTGTTCAGACCGATGCTTAATGGCAAGAGGGAGACCGTCCAGTCAGCCTGCCTCTGTGTGAGATCATACATGCACATGTCATACGCGCAGCGGAAGCATCTATTGTGCGTAGCCGCGGTTGAACGCTGGCTTCAATCTGTATCAGGAGGCAGAGAGTTCTCTCTTTGGCAGACCGCTACACTAGTATTGAGAAAAAGGACACTTGATTCTAGAAAATTCCAGAAAATAGGTTGAGTGAGCCTTTTGTTATAACAGAGTAGCATGTACGGGTTTAATTCCTGGCTGCTAACTCCGGCCTGGGTAACTCCGCAGGGTAGTAACAATATCCTGCTGGTGAAGTTCGGAAGCAGATGTAGAACATTTTGCTTGTTTGTTGGATTTTTTTATTGTCTTCTATTAATTGTTGTATTTACCTCACCATCCAGTTTGTGGTTCCAGGGGTCTAAATGAGTTTGTAAGTCCTCTCAGATGGAAACATAGTTTTTAGAGAACGAGAAACTGCTGTTTCCTTTCCTCTGCCAGGGTTCTTAGTTGTTGCTGAATACAGCCCTGCTAGGGCTGCATCCTCTCTGATAACAAAATCTGAGCATGTGCTCTGGAGGTGAAATATGATCTATTTGTGCTGAGTAAATTATTCTTTGCTTTTGGGCGCCCTCACTTACATCCCGTTTCTGCGTTGCCTTCTTTTTCCATTATTGTCCATCTGAAGGAATGTATGAATCCCTGCTGCAACGCTTCTACCTGCACTCTGAAGGGGGATGCTGTTTGTGCACATGGACAATGCTGCCAGGACTGTCAGGTATGATGTGTTCTGATCAGCCAGCCATGATATCATTTTTTTTTTTTTTAAACCATCCTGACACAAAGCTCACAAAAATATTTGTCGAAGCTTCCCTCTGGGTGTTTGTCCTCATGACTGTTGCTTGCTGTCAACATTTGAGTGTAGCTGAAGCCAGCAGGCACTCCGTGCCGTGAATCCAGCAACTCTTGTGATCTGCCTGAGTTCTGCACCGGCACCAGCCCTACCTGCCCCTCCAACGTCTACCTGCATGACGGCCATGCCTGCCACAACGTGGACGGCTACTGTTATAACGGCATCTGCCAGACTCACGAGCAGCAATGCATCACCCTGTGGGGACAAGGTATGTGGAAGGCCACCTCGCGGGCGCACGCTGAATGGTTCAGTGACTGTTGCCAGCTTTTTAATGCGTTTCATTGTGTTTTGCAGGAGCAAAGCCAGCTCCGGGCATCTGCTTTCAAAGGGTCAACTCAGCAGGAGACCCCTATGGCAACTGTGGCAAGGACTCCAAAGGCTCCTTTGCCAAATGTGATGCACTGTAAGCTCTGCATTACCATAGAATCCAATGAATGCATTTAATCGTATGTCTGTTGTGGAATGCAGTGGGGCTTATACTGTGAACAGTTGATTACAGTATAATCAGTTGATACAGGAGCACCTTAGTTGCCAAGTAGTGACAGCGGATGCTACATAACTCCAACGTCTCGAGTTTGATTATGGTCTTGGGGCCTTTGTTGTATGTCATTCGCCTCTCTCGTCAAATAAACAACGTCAAATAAAGGCAAAAAGGCCCAAAATTATTTTTTTTTTTATCAGTTGATTCATCAATTAATTGTTTAAAAAGCAAAAATGCAAATGTATTATCATCCTTTTTTTAATTTAAAACTCTGTTGTACTCTCACTCCAATTAATACTTAATACTGCTGGAAAAACTAGAAGAAAAAAACAGTTATCAATATGATTGTACAAGCTGCTGAAACTGAAAAAAAAACTAATATAAACAATAAAGAAGCAAAAATGCCGAACTGGTTTCCCCTGTTGTATATCAATATAAATTGCATTGTTTGGGTATTTGACTGTTTATCGGATAGAAGAAGTGATTTGAAGATGTTACATTGGTCTCTTGAAACTTGGGATGTGCTGTCCTCGCAATTTTCCTGATATTTTAAAGACGTTTAATAATAATAATAAAAAATATCAGACACGTCAAACGATGGAAATACTCATTAGTTGCAGCCCTAATTGAAGGTTACAGAGTCACCTGGTGAAATGCGGGTCAAATCGTTCAGGTTGTGGAATAAAAACAGCACAAACAAGCTACCTCTTCTGCACTTTCTCTTTAATTGGACAGCAAGAGTGAGAGAAATAAATAGAAATAGGAAATAATTGCATAGGCACACATTTGGGAAAACAGTGACGTGTTATTCAATTATCACATTTTGATTCTCCCTGTTGTTCGTTCTGTTTACAGAGATGCTAAATGTGGCAAAATCCAGTGTCAAGGAGGAGCTAGCCGCCCAGTAATTGGTACCAACGCTGTTTCCATAGAGACAAACATCCCCATGCAGGAAGGGGGAAGGATTTTGTGCCGAGGCACACATGTCTACCTGGGCGACGACATGCCCGACCCCGGCCTGGTCCTGACGGGGACCAAGTGTGGAGATGGACTGGTGAGAGCTGAGGCCTGTGATGCTGAAATACAGCCTGTAGAGACACACTAATCAATCCATTGTACCAACCGGTTCATTAGCACTGGTGGAAAGCAGTACAGAGCACATTAGCTCACATACAATATAAAAGTACTTGTACACATTCCTTTATTTACAAAGCACATTTTACTACAGAGAAACTCAATAAATAAATAAAACAAAGAAAGAGGCATAAAAAAAACAAGACAGACTTGATTTTATTTCCCTTAAGTGAAGCATTCGAATACCTTTACCACCACTGATAAATAACAATGGCAGCGATCTCTAAGACTCTCTGAAGATAATATAGAGATGTCGCCCGTATGCTGGGAAATAAGAGTGGAAGAAGCGATGTGGAGTGACAGGCCATGACTAAGACTTTCTAAGAGGTTCTTCAGGGTGTGTCGTCTTGTCATTTCAGACTCGCTCAGCCTCAGAGACTGAATCGACTTACCATTATTCAGTCTGTTTGGCATCTTTAAATCCTCATCAATTCAGACATTGGTCACCTCAATGATACCGTGGCTCCATTTAGTTTAAATGACTTCTCTATGAGCCGCCACCCTGAAAGAGGATCCAGCCTCTGCCCTCATCTGTCAAGGGTTCTGTCATTACTCTCTGTGCCCAGTGCTGCCAAGTTCATCTTCACATTCAGCCGGGATATATATTTGGACGTGGTGCCTTTAAGGAGCCCAAAGTCCACATCGCCTTGACGTATTCTTGTAAAAAATCCCACTGTTTACTGAGTTATATTTCATGCCATGCTCTTTGTCAGTATAGCAAATTTAAAAGAACCCAAAAGCTGGATCTTTTCTCCTTAAAAGATTAAAGGTTTAGAGTACCACTGAATCTGCTCTTTTGAGCTCATATTGTCAATATTTAATATCTGTGTCTGCTTCAGATGTGTCTGAATCGTCAGTGCCAGAACGTCAGTGTCTTCGGCGTGCATGCGTGCTCTGCCAAGTGCAGCAGTCGAGGGGTGAGTACAGCACCTTTCATCCTATTTCAGAGATGTGAGGACCTAATGTGATCGCTGTCTATCTCAAACCAGTCCCAGTTGTTTTCTTAATATCCCGTTTCTCCTTCATACAGAAGCTCATTTTGGCGGTGATGTGTGTAAATAAAAAAGAAATAAAAATATATATATACGATGGGTAGCTAGCCATTACGATGCCTTGCAATAAATCATTCTGGATGCTGAAAGGCTCAATCAATTAGATGTAATGGCTTCATTTATGCTCAGCTTTAAATGGCATTCATCATACTCTCAGGCAGTCGTTCTTGTCCCAAAAACTGTGTTGAAATCTGAAGGCCAGGCTTTATTTGGCCTGACGCTGGGTGCAATGACACGCAGTTTGACTTTGAGCTGGGAGCATGGATATCGGCTCTTTCTAAAAATGCAGCACATTAAATGTCGATGGGTGATCCTGTTTGAGATGAAATATGTGGCTGTGGGATATCACCCTTAAATTCACTGGTAGGTCCCAAAGGCTCTCACTGTGACTGGTAACGTTTCATCAAAGCTACAGAGGAAGCAGTTTTTACTCTCTCCTAAAATGAAACCTCTCCAGAAGTCATATTTGTTTGTCTACTTCCAATTAAGACATATCTATGATGCTCTAGAGACTGTTTTACTCGCAGAAATAAAAGGATGTTGCTCCTCAAGGAGACAGGACACCTCCCGCATGTACAGATTAGATCAAGATGTTGCCCTCACCTGCTCTATATTACCAAGCTGGGGAATCCTCTTAGACGGTACCATTCCTCCACTCTGCAGGGCAGGAAGACGAAAGAGAGAGAGAGAGAGATAGATAGAGAGATAAAAAAAATGTGGAATGAGGCAAAATGTCTGCTCTGGTTTTGAATCTTTGCCATGTGGAGCCTCGTAGTTCTGGCTGGTGGTTGACACTGCCTTACTCCATGCAGCACATATCGCATCTGCATCATGCGTCTTTGTTGACTCAATTAATAAACAATAGTTTTGTTAATTGATTAGTCATTTAACAATTTAGGCAAAAGGCACTGCTGCATATTTAAATTTCAAATGAGTGTGGGGAAATAGTCAAATGTAGCATAAAAAAGACTGAATATAACTGAATTTCTGCCTCATCTAACAGTTAATTGTCCTTTTAATATGCTGCAGGTGTGCAACAACAACAAGAACTGTCACTGCGAGGCTCACTGGGCCCCTCCCTTCTGCGACAAGGCAGGTCTTGGAGGGAGTGTGGACAGTGGCCCCGTCAGATTAGCAAGTGAGTCAACTATCGCAACACCAGTACAACTCAATGTTGACAGATGCAGTCTGGCTGTCACGTGTAGTGCTGGAAGACTTTTGTCTCTGAGACCACCTGTTATTTCCATGCATGTTTCTGAGCAGACAGTCGGAATCTGACAGTGGGCATCCTGGTGGCCCTCCTCACTGTGCTGGGAGCTGGTCTGATCATCTGCATCAAGAGGAAAGCTCTACTGGGCCTGCTCTTCACCAGTAAAAAGAACCCAATTGAGAAGCTCAGGTGCTTTTTCATCATTCGTAATAATAATTGTAACATTTAATTTCTGTTTAATGTAGAAGCATTTGTCAAACAGAAAATATCAGTAATAGATTCTGCTGAGTGGGAACAATTTTTACAATTGCTGTGTATAATTATTTTTGATTTCATAATTTGAAATATATTACAATTGTAACGTACGCTCAATATAATAAAGTTTGTAATTACGGATCATTTCCTCTTTAAATTACAGATCAGTAAGTGCTGCAATCAGTGGACCGCCGGCTCCGAACCAGCCCCCGTCATTGAGCGCGACGTCTCCATCGCGACCGGCCCCGCCTCCGCCACACAGCGCCGCCATCTTCAAGGTCACTATAGATCACACGTCTTTGCTGGCCCGTTACGAACGCACAGATAGACATCTCTCCTGCAGATGGATTTTTGTACAATGTCTGATTCCTAACACATGGGGGGGATCACCAGCAGACGACCCACGCTGTGTAGAGTATTCTCCCTGGAATGCCGCAGCTGTTTCGTTAGCAGGAATAATTCTCAACAGGATTGACGTGTGGTTTTCGCACAAATGGCAGCTCATTCAAATCCAATTAAATGATCCCACTCCACGTGGACGTGTGGAGGAGGTAGCGATAATGGAGTCAGTGGTGAGCAGTGTGTTCACAATGCATTTCTTGTCATTAACAGCTGCCTGTTAAGAGAGAAATTGATTTATCTGCCCGTTTCTCACGTGAAGAATGTTGATGCGGCAGCTTACTCAAGATATAAAGTCATCGTGTTGCTGATACATGCAAGACGGAGCAGGATTTATTTATTTTTTTGCTGTAATGACCTGTGTGTCTACAGCACAGAATGCCTTAAACTACTCCATTACTGCCCTGACATGCTCTCTGTAATGGGAAGAGACCTGTGGTCGATTGAGCTAGGGGAGCTGAAATAAGAGGAGCCGTGTCAGAATTGACATTTGTGCTACGGTTGCCCCACGAGTGAGGCAATATGCTGTGCATTACCATGAGATTGGTGTTTTCTGTTAGAAGCATGTGGTTTTCATAAAAGATCAACGGTAAGAGGAGAAAGGATGTAAGGCTGTTTGATGTAAGCACAGTGCAAGTGAGGTCATTTTCCAGTTGTCGGGAGCTGTGTTAAACTGCTGCATGTGTGCGCACTTTTGCATGCGTTACATTGTGTGTTTTTGAGTTTTTCGCACATCTGGCCAGGTCTAAATACTAGGAAGACTCGTGTTTTTGCTGTTCTTAGCGGGAGTGTGTGTGTGGGTTCTTTAACTGGGTCCACCTTTGAATGAGGCCAAGCGGGTGCTTGTGGCACAGTATCGGTCTTCCCCCTTTGATAGGTAAGCTGAAGGGGAGTTGGGGAATAGTGAGCCTAGTGAGCCGGCGGGTGTGAGCGTTTGATTTACACTTTATCTTTGACAGCATCAGGAAGAACGACAGAGGAAGAGGAGGAGGTGAACATGACTGTTTCTGATCGGAAGCAGACGGTTTCTCCTCTGGCTCTTCTTTCTGCTTTTAGACGAAGCATACTCTTGACTGTTCTGGTTCTGCGTTTCATCTCTGTGCAGCCTCACCACCGGGGGCCAGAGGCGGTGCTCCCACCGGCCCCCTACCCTTCCCACTGCCTGCGCAGACTGCCCCAGTGCCCCCCGGTTCACCTCAGCCACCCTGTTCCTCTGTCTCTCACCCTGTCCCTCTCCCCTGGCCCCGGGCTGGCGAGACCCCCGTTGCCTCCACCTCACATCCATGTCGCACCCCGGGGGGCGTCCTTTCGAAGTGGGTCCCGCCATAACTCCTGCAGGATGGTCATGGTGAGTGACTTGTTCCCTCACTTGGAAACATTTGATTTTATGATGTTACTCACTGAAAACTCTGCTTGGTCCTGTGAGCTTTTACTCACTACTACAGCCCATAATACATAACCAGGGGAATGATGTTGTTCGCTGCACCTACAGTGTCATGATGTCAGCCATTTTCACGGTTCTTTCGTGTCCTATAAAAGCATATATGCATGTTGACAGTAATATACTGTCTCATAAAATAATGAGCTTACCCGGGGAGCTAGCGTCATCGAAGCGAGACTTCACAGCTACAATACAAACCACCGCATGAATAATGAAAATGGAGCCAGCCATGCAGAGGGGGGGGGGGGGGGGGGGGGAGGGGGGGGGGGCAGAGAAGATGAAACAGCAACTGGAGTGAGCAAGTATGTCCAAATATCACAGGGTGATATTAAATTTGCTGCCACCGATATTCCATGGAGTTTAGTTATGGCACTGCAGACTGTCAAAGTTGAGGGGAAGAGAAAGGCAGAAGTTCCTGGTATTAAATCCCTCTCACTCAGTGATTCTCTAAGACTTTTATTTGCTTTAATCCGGTTTGACTTGTACCCTGTGGGCAAGTGAGGCAGAGAGACCCAGAGAGAGAGAGAGAGAGAGAGAGAGAGAGAGGATCCAAAAGACAGAAAGACAAAGTGATCAAGGGACAAAGGGAGGCTTGAGGGAACGAGTCGATTAATCAAATATAATCAATACATTTTTAAAGTCATATTTCAGGCAGAAACTGCGAGCATTCGCTGGTTCCAGCCTCTCAAATCTGTTGAATTTGTCTGTTTTATATTAATGCAAATTGAATACCGTTTGGTTTTAGAGTATTGGTTGGAAAAAGTGAGCAATCTGAAAGTGTCACCTTGGCCTGTGGAACAATTGTGCAGTCTTTTTAATTTCCAGACATTTTTGTTGATAAATTTACATATAAAAAAGGGGGAAAGTATCACCAATTACAAGTTAGCTGCAGCCCGTAAAGAAAGAGAAAATAAGTTAGTTGTAAAAAACAAAACAAGGACGAGATGCTGATGAAAAATCTGCAACGAGTTCCAGCCTTTAAAGGACAGCAGTGAAAAGGACGCCACAGGGGAGCTGAGGTCAAAGCTAATTAGAGGTGTGCTAAACAGATAATGACATTCCAGTCTTGTCCAGATTAATGGAAGGGGTCACAGAGGAGGTCTGGCTTCAAAACACAACACTGTTCAGGAGGGACTACATGTTGCGACATCATATGATGGGATAAATCAACATTCCGTAAAGAGCCCGACTCAATTAAGATGAGATAAGAACTTTATTGATCCCACACCGGGGAAATTCAGAGTAAAAAAAACAAAGGACAAAAACGGTGATTGAAAATGAAAGATAAAAACAAGACACAAATGAAATGTCACAAGATAATATATACACGATATACACCTTTCACTTGCACAGATATGTCCATGATGGATATATTTATTCCTTCAAGTTCTACTGATGTGTTTTCATAATGTTCTATTGCTGTACTTACCTATTTTTTACACTATTTATCAGTGACAGTGAGCATTAATAGTCACGGTAACACTTCTTCTAAAATAAGTATGTGCTTAGCTTTAGAATAGAAACGGAGCCGTTTACAAAGGTTCTTGCCTGTCACACGCCTGTTATACAGGTGTAGTGCAGCAGCTCCTGGCACCGTCTCGACTTCAGGAAGTAGATTTTCCCACTCAGCTGCTCCTATTTAATGTCAAAGTGTGAAACTGAAAGTGACGCCTGTTGGCAGCAGAATTCGTCGACAGTATCTTTAGCAGCTGTTTGGCAGCTCCGAGGCGTTGACAGAGTCTTCCATTTTCATCCCAGAGAGAGAGAGCTCTCTGCTGGGGGCACGGACGCATTGTCCGCTGGGAGAGTTTAGTTATTCTAAGTATCATTTTGTGCCTAATCACCTAATCAGGCGCGCTCTTTTCATTTGTCTGCTTCTCTCTTTACTCTGTCTGTCAATGAGATGAATTAGTAGCAGTGCTTTAATACTTCAGATTGTCATGATAATTGACCTCAAGGATGCAAAAGGAGAGACAAATCATGCATTAGAGGCTTCACTGACAGCATAGAGCTTTTCTGTGTTCGTGAATGATGGTTTGAATCTGCTTCCATGGTTGTTTGGCTCCTTTACTCTGCGATGTTTGAGGAGATTTCTCTGCAACCAAGAAGAAGAACAAGAGGACGTGAATGGAGACCAGATGGGGGCTAGGTAGCAGGCCTTTATCATGATCTCAGTCAGATGATTCAAACCACATGACTCTTCCTCTCATGGCAAGTTGCGTGGGCAGGGCTGCCCTGGTGCCTGAGAGGAAGAGGAGGACGTGACAGGCTGGCCCGAGCTGTGAGTGCCACCTGGTGGAGATTCTCCGTTATTATTTCTATGTTTCTTGTTTTTTACCAGGAGTTGGAGAAGCCCAGTCCTCCTCAGAAGCCCCTTCCTGCCGACCCGAGGAGCTCTCGTCTGGTTCGAAGTTCCTCTGTAATCCAAGGGCCCTCTTCTGTTTGCGGCCCTGCACCCACACCTGGTGTGCCCAGACCTGTGCGCCCTTTCCCACACCCCAACAGGTGAGTTCAGAACCTTCACCATATTCATGTCAAAACAACACTGAGGCTGGTATCACTTGCTGAAAGATTATTTGCATCACTCTCCTCCCCTCTCTAGACCCAGTCCCAAGCAACCACCAACACTACCAAAGCCTTGCATAATTGCCAACGTCAAATACAGCAGCTGAGAAGATAAGGGACGGAAGGGACAATGTTGTGATGAGACACTACAAGAATTTGCACTATGAAAACTCTAAAAACCTTAAAAAAAGATGGCGGCTTCTCTTGAGTATTGAATGAGGAGATCGGCCGTGTCCCTTTGGTGCTCTGTCCCTGAATGGTGCTACAAGTCTGTGCTCAGGTACATGTAAAGTATTTATAATCTGTATTTATTGCCACGCAGTGCACTGTGCCAGACACTTTTACTACACGGTAGCAACTTTGAATTTTTTATTTGTCGCTTGCGTCGGTTCTCACAATATTTTTTCCCGCCTCATCAGCTGGTCTTTATCAAGGACAGTGACGGGAGATTTAAAAAAAAAAAAAGCCAATTTGGGAAATTCTGTTCGCAGAACATATGAAATATGTTTTAATGAAGGGAACCCTTTACTTGATGGTTTTGTTCTGTGTACTACAGGAAGGGCTGCAGAGTGTTTTGCAATGACAGATGAGAACAGACAACACTTGTAGTTCATGTGGAACCCAATGGGGTTTTTCTTGAAGGGTAATGCTCTCATTAGCACCTTTGCGTCAATCTGATGAGGCTCGAAACAACTACAGAAAAAGAAAAAAGTCGTGTTACTGCAACAGTTCTGCAATTGGGCGAAGAGGGGCTGGTTGTTTTCACAGACAGCGGAAATTTCCTCTGCATTTATATTTCGGAAAGGTAACGAGTCGATTGGGGAAATGTCACTGATTTGCCATTTCCATTTCATTAACGAGACCCAAGAGGCTCCGTTGAGGGATCTGGGTTCTGAGGTGTGAACTGAACATGGATCTAAAATGAGGCGAGATCAAGGAAGCATTCATTCCTCAGAGAGAGCGAAACGTCTCTGAAATATTGCTCCGCTAAAAGGGTCATGTGTGTTTTTGAGCTTTTCCTTGTGTGCCTGTCTTACACCGAGGACTCTCTGTGTGAATACATCACAGACACACTGAGGTCACGCAGGCGTCATGGAGGCACTCGCATGTAAACAGCACCGTGTCTGGCTGCAGGCGTTCATGTGTGGATTTTCAGCCATGTCTTTCTGTGATGGGAAAAGGAGCGATTCGCTTGACAAGGACACATTTCTAGATCTCTTTCTGCCACCGAAATGTCATCCAAAACTGTGTGGGCAGTTATTCATTTTCTATTTTTTTTTACCTTTTTCATTTTGGCTATTGGGATGAGGGTTTTATTAAAGCCAATATACACAATCCTACATACATTGTATTTGTGGTAACTGAACATTTTTGCATATACATTCACACTGAGCAACTTTTCCTTTCAGCACAGCTCTCGTTCACAAATATGTCGGCTAAAAAGTGACTTTGAACTTTTGTTACTTTTGATACTGCCATCTTTTTAATAATGCACTAGTTTTACATTCGGTGCTTTGTTTACTTTGCTTTTCAATGCTACGTGTCCATGTACTAATAGACAGTATTTGAGTCCTGTCACCTGACTGTATGTTATGTCCATAAGTTCCATTTATGTTGTGTTACAGGTGAACACATTTCCATGGAGAATGCTTTTTTTTATACAATGATTGTTTGATACATCATACAGTATGTAAAGAAAACACTTAAAGTGTCTTTGTCTGCTCGTGGTTTTTTTTAACACTCATGCAGTTTTAGTTTTGCAAACACTTAAGAACGTTTTTCTTAGTGATCTTTTATGTATGTTTTCAGCAAGAGTTGTGCCATATGAAAAATCAATTATAGGAGAGAAACAATTGTTTCTATGTTAAAAGCCCTTTTAACACAGACAATGGCAACTTCACTCTTCACTAATTTGTAAGAATACAAAGACTTCATACTGATACTAGATTTCATAATGTATCACATTTTTTTGGTGTCTACAAAAAGTAACCTTTCTGTCAAGAGCCTCTGGCATTTCTTTTTATGCTTGAGTAATTTGCAGCGGGCAGATTGAATACTGAATACGGTAATAACTGTAATTTAACATTCCGATTTCAAATTGCTTTTAACCATTTAACACCGACACCTAGGGCTTATTTCAACAGTCTGAGTCTTTGTCTAAAAACAATTTGCTGAGGTCTTTGTGAGGGATACAAATGATGCTTCAGTCAATGCAGGTGTGGTATTATCTGTTCACTGTTGCCCATCAGGATTTCATTTGCTGGTGCTGACCCGATGGAGTCAAGTGTATGATTAAAAGAATGTTTTTTTATTTAACATAAGGAAAAAATAATTGCTGATGAGAAATCGAAGCAGGTGCACACAATAACAAGAACACACTGATGAGAAGATCAGCAAACATCATCTAGTCACAAGGCTGCAGCTGCAGGCAGATTTTATTTGTCAAAAGAAAGGGAGGAGGCTGGGATGTAAAGGCCAAAAACAAAAATAAGAAATAGACACATCTAGGTTGCCTACGGTGCTTCAATGCTTAATATTTGGTGTGGTGCATCGTTAACATACCTGTTTATTCTTGCTAACTACCAGACATGTTTACAGACTCTTGAGTTGAGACATTTAGTCTTGTTTAATGATTAAGTCTAAGACACATTATTTTAGGTCAAACTGGACCGAGAATCAACGAACAGCTCCTCCTTGTGGAGACGCTGAAGCCTGCAGCCGGTGGATGGGTGAACTGAAGAATTGAATGAGTTTTTCCATTACATGTTTCACATCTAATAAATAAAAAAAATCAATTACAACAACACTTACGGTTTTATAAAAGCCCATTTCAACAACAACAGAATAATCCACTACCTAAGTTGTTTTATTCATTATCATGTGTTTTTTTTCCTTATAATTATGACATATTATCTTCAAATGTACTATACTATACTATCTCATATTTAAGGCTTGTCATATTTATAGGAATGAAGAATGTAGTAAATATAAGGAGGACAAACTACTGTCTGTTGAAGAGATAATATTGCGCATTAATTGATAAGCATATAACAAAATAAAACACCTGCGTTATTCTTGTAAACATAGAAAGAGAATATATTTTTTAAGGATATTTTGGATTTGATATTAGCGTCACAGTCCTCGCTACTTTACCCGTGATGATTTGGGATAATCAGGAGATTATGACAGCGGGCATATTGCTCAGGAGTGGATGTGAAGCCCTGTGCAAAACAAAACACGTGGGTAGCCACGCTGAGGAGAAATTACGCGCCGGGTGCGCACTGCGAGCCAGGCAGCCTCTACCAGAACAGCTTCAAACTCTTCACAGCTTAATAAATATAGTTTCAGCAAATTAAGAAGCCGGGTAGAGAGAGAAAGACTCTGGTCATTTATCACATGCGAATAGAGGATAATGTTTCACGGAAACGGATTATTCTTTTGAATCGTTACGATATTACACTAAATGGAGCCGTAGCTGGAGTGGTAGGAAACACATTTATGAACTGTCGTACAACAAATATACATATATGTGTCATGTCTGATGAAAACATTTCAGCGGAGCCAGAGATTTGCCCTGAATGTGAGATCGAATGTCCTGCGGAGGATCCATTTGGCTTTGGAGATGATCTGGAGTTAAATCAATTCGATGGATTGCCATTTTCCTCACGTTACTACAAACTGCTGAAAGAGAGGAAGACTCTGTCAGTGTGGAAGGTCAGGGGCGAGTTTGAAGATGCTCTGGTAAAGAACCAACTGGTTATTGTGTCTGGGACAGCGAAGACTGGGAGGAGTACACAGGTAAGACAATATGGTCAGTAGTATGCACGTTGTGTTAGGGGAGAAGGAAGGGTGAAGAAGATGGCACGAGTCTTTCTTTAACAGAGAATGAAAGAAAAGTTTACGTTGAACTTGGATTTGTTTTAAAGCAAAGTAAATGTTTTAATTTCCCCTCATCAATATAGTCAAATGCAATCTGATATAGAGTAACAGTGGATCTCCCTTTTACTTCTCCATCTTTTTCACTGCTCAGGGACATTTTGGACCTAAACACCAAAGCATGCCTCAATTTGTATGACTTGCATGAGAGGTCTGCTCCTCTTAATTTGTTTAAAGGTTGAGTTGTTTACTTCCCAGCATTGCCATCTTTATCTGCTGAACAGTAACAACTTTATACATACTTTTGATTCCTGTGGCGGTGGGTTTATTTTTCCTCTCTCTTTGACATGTATGGATAGAGTGGCATTATGTGAGCTCGTGTGAACAGGCTGCCCAGCTCAGCAGATGCTGTTGTGTCACTGTCATGGCTGTCCAAGCTCCAGCCTGACGGTCATGCTTCACAAAGGCTCCAGCAGGGGTGTTAGGGGACCTCCTGCTGCTAAGCCCTGATCCGCTGGAGCCGCCCCATGCTGCCAAAGCAATTTTGCATTATTAGCGATAATACCATATGATATCTGCTGTGACTGTTTGTTTTGCAATATAAAAGCTGTTGATGCAACCCTGAAAGGATGCTCTCCTGGGTCTATGGGAATAAAAATGTGTTTGGTGCAGAGTTTGTCAAGTCTGTCAAGACAAACAATGAAGTGTGAAACATTTGTGTTCTCTTTCAGATCCCTCAGTGGTGTGCAGAGTTCTGTCTCTCCGCCCAGTACCAGCACGGCATGGTTGTGTGCACGCAGACCAACAAACAGCAAGCTGTAGATCTGACCCTGCGCGTAGCTGATGAAATGGACGTCAACATAGGCCATGAAGTGGGCTACACCATCCCTCTGGAGAACTGCTGCTCCTCCGACACTGTTCTGAGGTCTGTCTATTTCACAGCCAGCAGCACAATGACACGTTATTAGCCACAAACTATCTGACGCTCATAATCTTTCCTTCTTCTTTCTGGTGCTCCTCAATCACATTGTGGATGAAACGTAGAGATATCCTGAAGTTGCTACTTATGGTCGCATAGTTTTGCTTTTATAATAGCTATTAACTCCTCTGATGGCTCAGGTACTGCACCGACCATATGCTGCTGAGGGAGATGATGTCGGACCCTTTTCTGGAGCACTACGGGGTCATCATCATCGACCAGGCCCACGAGAGGACAGTCAGCACGGACACACTGCTGGGTCTCCTCAAGGACATCCTGCTGCAGAGGCCTGAGCTCAGAGTGGTGGTCCTCGCCGTCCCACCCGCGACCGACAAGCTGATGAGCTACTACGACAGCGTCCCGCTCATCAGCCTGGAGGCCTCGTCTCCCGCTGAGGCGGTCCACAGCAACGGCGGCAACAAAGACTACTTCTTCTCAGCGCTGAGACTGGTGCTGGAGATCCATCGAACCAAAGAGGAGGGAGATGTTGTTGTGGTTTTTGCCTCAGCTGATGTAAGAGATTGTTGCAATTTTTTTTAAGAGTGGTTTGATCGGACCACAGCTGAGATTGGTTGAGCACTTTTTTCTTTTCTTGTATTCTCTTCTGCAGGAGGTCCATTGTGCCCACAGCATCCTCCAGAGAGAAGGCACCAGGCTGGGAGCGGAGCTGGGCCAGATGGTTCCTGTGGTGCTGTGCCCCCGCCGGGGAGGGCTACTGCCTGAGCAACCCGGCTCCAAGAGGTCCAGGAGGGTTTTCCTCTCTACCACACAGGGGGAGGATATGTGGTGGGCCACAGAGTCCATCAACTTTGTCATTGACACAGGAGTCCAGAAGAAGATGGTTTGTTTGTTTGGTTTTTTTCCAACAAAAGTTGTCTAATTTAAATGAGTAATATAGTGATTATTAATTGGCATGTGGTTGGATCTTTGTAGGTGTACAATCCAAGAATAAGAGCTAACTCGGAGGTTCTTCAACCCATCAGTCAATATCAGGCAGACATACGCAGGCGGCTGTCTGGACCAACAGGTATGTCTGACAGTCTGCTGCAACTGGACAATATATGAACCCATTTGAGTTGTTAAATAATGTCAGACTCAGACCTGGTAAAACATCCTGGAATGTTGACTATAATAACACACATTCATTTTTGATGTGCTATTTGTGTGTAGCGTTGTATTGGGTGTCTTGTAAGTTTTTTGTGGTATATCTCTGTATTATGTCTTTTCTTTTTTCTGTGTTGTCTTGTCCTTGTTTGACCTGCCAAGGGACTGCAGATACAAATTAGCTTAAGCTACAATCTGGTACAGTGCATCGAATGGAGACATTTATGTTTAAACTGTACATGGTCCCTTTTTAAATAAATAAAATAAATAAATAAATAACGCTGGATTTAATCGAATAACTTAATGTAAAACCACTATTAAGTGGCTATTTTTCCTTTACTGAATTTATTTCCAAGGTAAATGTTTCTGCCTGTATCAAGAAGACGGCCAGCTTCCGGCAGAGAACTCCCCACAGATCTTGGAGTCCAACATTACACCAACAGTCCTCTTCCTAAAAAGGATGGAGATAGCCGGCCTTGGACAGTGTGATTTCATCGACAGACCAGGTGACGCAGTCTGCTAGTGGACATTGCACGTGGTTATCATTGAAAAAGCATCTTTATTCTGAGGTTACTGGTTCCCACAGAGGACATCTCTCTTCCACCCTAAAACACAGCCAGAGAGGTGTATGCGGGAGGGTTTTCTTTTTTTTTTTTTTTGGCTAGAGGAAGCACAAATGAATTTGCTCTGTGTAGCTGTTTGGGCCCAGTCAACCATGATTTAGCTGAGCTGACAGGACCCTGCTACTAACTATTGTCTGAGCTCTAACCACCCCTAACATGAACAGAACAGGCTAAAAGAGGCCAGCTCATTAACGATTACGCAACATGTCTCGTTAGGGCAGCACCAGACGAGTACAATGAAGAGAGAAAGGACGGGCCAAATATACTGTAATATCTCCGTTCTCTTGCAGAATGTGTCGCGGAAGTTACTTGCCCCTTAAAGATATAGACATTAACATATCAAGTGTAGTGATTTGATGTGATTTTAAAGCAACATCAAATTATTGTGAAGGCATGAATTGGTGTTTTTCCAGCTTTTCATTGGGAGCCTCCCAAATTCCACATATAGCAGCTTTAAGTACGAGTGATGCCCCCCTCAATACACTGAACAAGAAACAAAAAGATAATCTAAAAATGATTCTCTCTTTGATTTATAAAACTCGAGCCTTTTCGTTCCTTGTTGCAGATCCCGAGGGTCTCATGCAGGCGTTGGAGGAGCTTGATTACCTCGCAGCTTTAGATGATGATGGCAACTTGTCTGAGATTGGCATCATAATGTCTGAGATCCCTCTGGACCCTCAGATGGCCAAAGCGCTGCTGGCCTCCTGCGAGTTTGACTGCGTGAGTGAGATGTTGACGATCGCAGCGATGCTTTCAGGTACCGTGTGTTCCAACTTCCACTCAGAATAAGATTTGTTCGTAGTGAGTGAAGATCCTTGTCACTGGTTTGTAGATTCACCAGATGGACATCATTGTAGTAGCTCATTTGCAGATGTTTCGAAGCTGCGGTTTCTCCCAGACATCCTTATGACCTTGTTGTATTTCTTGTCTTTTAGCGTCAAGCTGCTTCCTGGAGCCGCCTGCTGGTATGACCCACGAAGCAGTCCAGTGTCACAGGAAGTTCCAGCACCCTGAAGGAGATCACTTCACCCTCATCAACATCTACAATGCCTTCAAACAAAGCCAGAGAGAACAATGTAAGACGCAGTCGATGAACAGAATCAGTCCACTCTCACTGAAGTACTGCATTTGCAAGCATTCTGCAATATAGCGCAACACCTGCAGTGTTTGTCATTCTGTTCCTCACTGTAGTAAAAAAGCAAAACAAGTTAAACATTTGTAAAGTAGAACCTAGTGTTGTCTTATCAAGGCAGGACAATTCATACACCAAGGCACTTTGAAGGTGCTTTACATTTATTTTACAAGGAATCAAAAACAGAGGAATCAAATCCAAAAAAGAGAGGAAATAAAAAAACAGTACTGTAAAATAGGACATTTTGATGTTTTTGCAATATTCATTTAACGGTAACTTTACTTGACATAGTGGGTTTAATTAAATATTATCCCTTGAATTAATAATTTACAATCTGTCACCATTATTTCAATCCAGTCACATTTGTTTGTTGTTGGGGATTAAAAATGAAGATAACGATAAACTTAGTTTAATCATATTAGACATTTATGGACCTCATTTAAATATGTTTTTTTCCATCACATTATTTTAGCCGACGCTTTTATCCAAAGCAACTTATAATGAGTGCATTCAACCATGTGGGTACAACCCCAAAAAGATCAAGAATCATGCAAGTACATCAACTTGATCAAACATGCTGATCTGCTTCAAGTTCTACAATAAGAGATGGAAGTTATTTTTGTTAAGTTTTAGTTTTACTTCATGGGCCAAGGTGCAGTCTGAAGAGTTTCATGAGTTCCATACTGTTGCCCTATTACTGATGCGTTTTTCCCCAAGACTTCACCGCTGAAAAGTGGTGCCAGGACTATTTCCTTGATCATTCCGCCCTGAAGAAAGCTGAGGCCATTAGATCAGAGTTGACGGACACCCTGAACAGGATCGAGCTTCCCATCTCCGAGCCCTTCTTTGGAACCAAGACCAACACCCACAACATCAAAAGAGCTCTGCTGGCCGGTTTCTTCATGCAGGTATGTGGAAACTAAATGTCAATATGAAGGAAGATACCAGTAATTCAACTGTTCTGAAGTTTGCAGAGTCGTTTCCTATTCGTAGATCGCACGAGACGTGGACGGATCGGGAAACTACTTCATTCTGACACACAAGCACGTGGCTCAGGTGCATCTCCTGTCCAGCTACGGGCCTCAGTCACACAAGCTGGGGCTGCCCGAGTGGGTTGTTTTCCACGAGTACACCCTGTCAGAGAACTGCATGAGAACGGTCTCTGAAATTTCCCCTCAAGTGTAGGTCGATCCCTCTCTTCTTTTCGAACAGATTAGAATTAAATTCTCATGGATTATGTTTTTATGCGCCACACTGTGACAAACATGTTTTGATTGTTTTTGTTGTTGAAAAATTGAGCCATTTTAATTTAAATCTTTTCAAATCCTCTTTTAAGTCTCCATTTTTTTTTGAAATATAAAAAATAAGTACTAACCATATTCTTACTTGTTTTTCATCTTTTCCATATAATGTCGTTTCTGTCACTTTAGGTACATTCAAATGGCGCCCCTGTACTTCTTCTACAATCTGCCCCCTAGCGAAAGCAAAGACATCCTGCAGGACATGTTGGAACCAGACAGATCCAGGAAATGTGAAGACGGGAAACAGAAAGCCTCCGCAATCTGCGGCGATGCCGACAGTGGCTGTGCAGTGGTGTCGCAGTCTTATGACAGATGTGTGATTCAATGATCTAAAATCATAAATGAGCTGTAACCTTTTCATCAAATGTTGTGAAATGTTTAAAGGCAATGCAAACCAGGGGCTTTAAAATTAAGTTATTACATTGCTTAAACTGATGATGGTTACATGAAGGGTGACTCGTATGATGACTGCATGATGCAAAATATAAAATCACACTTTTTATTAACTGTTAGAAATACCTGGGGTCAGGAAATGCCTTTTCCCTGATTGTTTTGTACCTTTTAATATTGGCTCTGCTCTCCCCTTCAACACCGTCTGTCTGAGAATGAAAGTGTCTCAATGGCTCTTTACATTTCAATGAGCAGCAGAGGGGTTGCAGATGGATGTTGCTGTACTTTAAAGGGAGAAAAACCTTCCATCACACCTCTTGTGCACGTAACCAGGAGGATTCAGATTCAAAGAGACGGTCCAACACACTGCATGCACTAGCTGCTGGAGAAAACACTTTATCTCGTTCCTTACACAAAGCTGGCGGTACACCTTTCTCTTCCGGTTAATGTGGTATGTAAAGTTCTGGTTTGAGACTGAAACGTGCCAGATAAAACAAGGAAATGATTGTCGAGACATGTAGATATATAAAGCATTTATTAAACATAGATGGTGAGAGATCTACAGAGATGTTTACATAGAAAATCCTCAGAATGGTGCAACTCCATTCACGATTCACAAGTTTTCACAAATTAAATTTATATTCTATATGTTCCATTTGTCAAAAAAATCCAGATTAAATGTGTGAAAATTGGCTTGCTACCAAGTTATGTGGTGTATGCATCTGCTGAGCCTGGACTCCAAGCTCATATCAAATTGTCTTGGTTCATAATCTTGTTATAAACGAGTCCTAAAAAGACCTTGCTGTATTCACAAGATACAATTGTATGTTTCTGCAGTATGAGCAGGGTATATTAAAGTGAACCAGGAATTTGTAAAAACTGCATCTCTAAAATTGCTTTTCAAAAAAAAAAAAAAAAAGGAGCCGTCACTGCACAGCATGTACTAAAGGTCAGGTTTATAATACTGGCACTACTGTAGCTGATGGTACCAAAATATTTTCTTCTACAGTCTCTTAAAGAGTATATTGAACCATTCCCATGAGCCTGAAGGTCTTCAGTTTGCACAGCTGTCATAGTTTATTGGTTCGGTTCACACAGTTAGGTATTCTTTGAGTTTGGTCATAATAGCAGGCATTCTGTCTGCTGGTATCAGCATCACGGTCCTGAAGGGTTTCATGGGCGCATCGTCGAACGACCACCGGCCGCTCAGACAGGTGTCTGCGTCTTCCTGGACCGAGTAGTTGAACTTCAGGATGGCTTGCTGGAAGGAAAATACAGACACTGGTGAATTCTGTTAATATTTAAGCATGAATACAGATGTTTTACATCTCTTTTCTCTTCTTTGAAAGTAGAAACACATTAAAAAAAATAATTGGAAGGTAAAACAGCCTGAGGCTCATTAAATAGCAATAAAATATCAAAGTATTATTATCCAAAATACTGAATGCAAGCGTTCCTTATCAAAGATTAAGTTAACATCTCAGCCTCTTCTTGCATTTACTTGACCCCTACCTCATAGAAGAATTCCTCCTCTGCATTGACAAACAAGTGTTCATCTTTGGGAGCTCCTCCTCTGGCTGGAATACTCCTGTTTGCCTCTTTGCAGGTCTTGCTGATCATCAGACAATAGTGACACTTCCCACTGGGCATATTCGTCCTCTGAGCTTCAGCTATTTCTTCCCTGGAGGACAGACAGATATTCGGTTTATTATCCTGCACACAATATTGATTTAGTTTTGACCCCGAACAACGATGATTTATATTCTTCTATCCAAACCACAAACACCCTACAGATACTCCTTCAGCTATTCCAAAGTTAAATGCATTCGTAGAAAGTAGGTAACCCATCTTAAAAGTTTTATATTCCCCCCTTTTTACGAAGCGCCGTCAGGTCAAGTATCCATACAAGACAGAGTGGAACTCACTGGAGCTGTTTGTGCAGTGGGAGGGCGATCTGTGGGGGCACGTTGATGAAGCGCTCGCTCAGCAGCAGCCCTACAGGCTTGCTGGCGTCATTGAGGAACTGCTCCAGCTGTTCCGTCACACTGTTGGTAGAGTTCTTCTCACACTGATCCATGATCAGCTCCTTCAACTCCTCCACACATTGCACATCCTGCAAACAGTGAAATTACATCAAATGAGTTTATTTTCTACATCAGAGTCCCCCCCCCAACAACCAACTAGTCTGTGAGACTGGTGTGCGCCAGTGGTGTTACCTTTCTCTCCGTCAGGTTGAGCATAGTGATGAAGCCAAATACTTCATCGGGGTCGTCATCATCGCTGTCTTCTGGCACCTCAGCTTGCTAGAGCAAACAAAAGAAGGGACACGTGAACACATGGTAAGAGCAGAAACTGCTGAAACGTCCCCCAATACATGCGAGATGAGGTTAAACTCACCTTGATGACACTTCCAAGATGATTCTGTTGAATGATGAGGTCCGTCATCTCTGAAGTATTTACATGAGCCTTCAGGAAGAGCTGTATCCAAACACACCAGAAGTGAGTCCAGGCTTACACCAAACACATAACCATGATAATTTATATTTAAAAAAAAAAAATAAAAAATCATAAATATGGTCTCAAACCTGATGTAAGAGTCTCTTGACGCCATCGAAGTCGTTGCTTGAGATGGCGTGGGCTTCAAAGTCAACCATGACCTCCTGAACGCGAAACAATAACAAAGCAGGGAGAAGTTAACAGAAACCTGTCTGCATGTGGAGAAAGTATTTATTAAAGTACTTTTGTTATAGTAATAGGGTAGTTGTTTGATGTACTTATTGTATGAATGAGTCATTTTTAGTAGGTTTTTGACACGCACTGTAAAATAATTTCAAATGTTACCCATACTAATTTAAAGTAACGTTAACATTACTACTTAAATATGATATTCCAGTTTGTCTTTTCAGTCCTGGTTGGCAGTATATAATGCTAATGTAGCGTCCTGTTACCTTTAGCCGACAGCTGAGTTGGCTATCTAGCTAGCTAACTAGCAAGGCCATGCATGTAATAGTTTGTTCTTTTACCTCATTGATCTCCTCCTCGGATGCCTCGCTGTCCTCCTCCCCGGAATCACCATCCCCCTCCGGATTCTCATCGGAGCTGTTTTCACTTTCCTCGGGGTTTTTGCCCAAACCTACTGCTCTTTTCTTAGCTGAAGAAGCCATGCTTGCAAACAGTCAATACGCGTTTCAACTGAGTGGGCGGGGCAACTCGTAAAGTTCAGTTCACAGGGAGTTCGGAAACTGTGACTCTGAAGCCGCCATTACGGCTCAATATGTACACGATTTGCCACTTGCCGTAGCAACCTTCGGAGCCGCAATGTTGGCTTGTTGCGCTGTGCGAAAATGGACTAAACCATTTTAGAAAAAGGGGATAGGAGTTAATTAAAATGTGCCTAAACTACTATGGTTCTGTAATGAACAGGTAATTTCATAATATGGTTTAATAATTATATTATATTCGTTGGAATCAATAATAATTTTGCAGAATTTACATGACTTTTTAAAAGTTAGTCAAATATTTAATGTAATGTCTCCCCTCCTTCACCATGGCTGAAAGTTGTTATGTACTCAGCGGTAGCGACAACTCAAGGTACATGAATATCGTGTAATATCTTGTCTTTTTTTCAGTATCCGTTGTAATTCGCATCATTGTACTATACAAGTGAGATAGATTAACCGCTTATTATCACAAGGCATGGCGGACGGTTACTAGCTAAGCTAAACTGTCATTTAGGAAGCCTTGCTAATGTAAACAATAACAGAAGAAGACACCAGCCACATTATAGCTAATGCAACATACGTAATACACCCACCCCAAGAGAAAGTGTGACATTATTGCTTCTCATTTTCTCCTCGTGTGCAGCCCAATAATCGTGACTCAACAGTATCGTTATCGGCAGGTTGCATGTGACAGTTTTAGGGTGTAGCTTAGCTTGCTGTGCCTTCACACCCACTGTCCTCAGTCCTTTTGCAGTTTTGAGTGTCTTGCTTTGACAGCAGCATTCATATTTCACGCTGGTTTGATCTGTCGATTTATTCCTTGTTTATTTGATTGATCCAGCTTCTTAAAGCCTTGTCAAGATGCATGTGCTGCTTCTCAAAGAGCCTAGAGATGGAGAGTCTGGACCTGATCCCTACATTAAGGTAAAAGCACATGTTAGTACTGTGTTCAGATATGTATTTGCTGCAGTTGTCAGCTTTGCATTTCACAGATACTATTGTCAGGAAGCTCTTGTTTTGTTTCCACAGGAGCTGGCATCACATGGACATAAAGCAACCCTGATTCCTGTGCTGTCTTTTAAGTTTGTGTCATTAAACACCTTGTCAGATAAGGTACATTCCATTATTACAGTATTACATTAGTATTTGCATCATTCATGTGCATATGTATTGCTTTTTGTATCATTTGTCTGTTGTTTAAGATGTCTTCCTGTTTTTTTTCTTCAGCTTTTCCAACCAGAAAAGCATGGAGGTCTTATATTTACCAGTCCGAGAGCAGTGGAGGCTGTGAAGATGTGCTTAGAAGCAGAAGAAAGAAGGGAAGGTGAGAATATACAAAGGAATTACGTTTTTAAATGAATATAATTGTTGCACCCTGTACCTCATTGATTAATCCTCTGAAAGCATGTGTTTGGTTAAATGTGAGTTCTGTGTACTGTGTTTCTTGACTGCTCACTGACATTTGAAACCACTTCCTTGATTAAATGTCATCTTTTTCCTTAATTGTTATTTCAGAATGGAGCAGCTCCGTGAAAGACAAGTGGAACAGCAAGTCCATCTATGTGGTTGGGAAGGCAACTGCTGCATTAGGTGAGTTATTGTCACGTATGAAAATTATACTCGTACTTTTTATGAACCTTTGCTATGTTAATGATAATTCTAGCAGAGTGTGGCAGGCACCTGGTGCTGACAGAGGTGTGTGAGGTGATGTTACTGCCCTCAGTCATTTGGAAATAGGTTGTACACAAGTGACAGTTTGCTGCAAGCTGCAGCACCTGCCTGACGTGTGCTTTGCCTTCTTTCTTTAGTGACACTTGATCTCTTTGTTGTCAGTTACTTGTGTATTTAGTAATTGAAGCAGTTGAGCTGAATTTGTGTAATTATTCAGTGACGTGTTGTTGTTGTTTTTTCCCCTGCATAGTACGGAATCTGGGTCTGAACCCTTTGGGCGAGGACACGGGCACAGCAGATGTCCTGTCACGTCTTATCCTCGAACGTACGATATGACTTCATACTCCCACATTCTTCACCGTTCAGTTTAATGGGACCTTTACAATTGTTCTGCTAACTAATATGACCTTATACTTAATTCTCTTCATTTTCATAGGAGAGGACACAAATATTCCACCACTTTTCTTCCCCTGTGGCTCGATCAAAAGAGAAGTGTTGCCCACGGCTTTAAGGGGAAATGGTAAGATCTCAAGATTTAGACTCAAGGTGATAAAAGTCCCACTGGGGCTACACTAATTATAAAATAATAATTGTGCTACCTTTATCACTGCGGGGATCTCTTTCTTTGTTTCCAGGAGTGCCCCTGGAGACACTGACTGTCTATCAAACAGCTGAACATCCAGACCTGGAGAAGAATCTAAAGAACTATTTCACAGAGCAGGTGAAGCCCCACTCCTTCTGCATTTTAGAGCGAAGGCTTTTCTAAACGTAGCAATTCTTCATTCGTCTGTGCATTTGCAGGGCGCTCCAGCCAGCGTCGCTTTCTTCAGTCCATCGGGAGTGAAGTTTTGCTTAGAGGTGGTACAGAGGCTGTCGGGTGAACAGCTGACTCAAATAAAGGTGAAGCCTCTTCATAAGCACACACATAAAACAACACATGAATCTGCAGTTCCTAACAGATATTCGGTGCCTCTGACAGTCACTTAAACTTCTTTGTTTCCAGTTTGCAGCCATCGGGCCTACGACACAAGACGCTATGATGGCAGAGGGCCTGTGTGTCAGCTGTACTGCAGAAAAGCCAACAGCTGAGCACCTGGCAGCAGCGATAGCCAAAGCTCTCCAGTAACCAGCCACAGCTCCTAAATCCATCCACTTTATCTTCTCTCTTTGTATATTCTGTGGTATTTATATGAATTGTCATTTTACCAGATTTATATGTACATCAGCTAAATTGCACTGAGAAAAAAACCTGGCTTTTTCTGTCATGAGAGCCTCAAGAATGTAAGTGAATGTAATTGTAATATTTATGTTAGGCATGCTCAAGAAAGTCTATCTAGCTTTTGTTTTTGAAAATAAAGGCTTGTCAATGTGGTGATGGAAGGTTTGGTTTGTGGTTTTTCATTGTGTGTGTGTGTGCGTGTGTGTGTGTGTGTGTGTCCAGTTCAAAACAGGTGTTGGCAGAAGTCATGGCTGTCCTAAACTGCTATTGTCCACATGAAAGTGAAGGCTTTAACCTCTTTCCACAGGTCAACAGCAGTCCATTTAAAACCAGTGGAGCGTGTATCGCACATCCATACAATTCAGTGACTGGAGACAGTAAAGACAGGTTTACTTTTCACACAAAGCTGAGGGAAGTGGGATACCTCCAAAGAGTCGCACCTTTAGAGGGGTGTGGAGAAACTCAGCATCTGCCTATAAAGCCCTGTGGCTTCTTACTTACTCGTATACAGATACCTGAGTAAACCAACGCCACGATGCTGACTTCTATCCAGCTGATGATTTTGCTTTTTTGGACGAGCATTTGCTCAGTTGATGCAGAGAAACTTTTCCACAACCGGGATCATTCTGATGTGCAGACCCTTAATTCTCACCAAGCTAAGGTTATAACAAACAAATACACAGCAGAGGTAAACGACTTCACTTTTTTCCAAATGCTCTCTCCTTTGTCAAACTTCAGCATCTTTTAGATTAGACATTTTAAGATCGACTGTTGTAATCATATAACCCATGTCTTGTTCCAGCTATTTCTCTCTAGATATGGATTCATTACGCCAGTGAACTGGGAGGAGGTCCAGTTTGAAGATTCCGACGCCTCTTTTCACAATGACTTTTTGGGTGACCTTCAAGACGTGATCCAGGAAGGAACCTCGCATCACTCAAGGGATGCTCCACAGGATGGTGACCATGACGGTCTAACCGAGAGCCAAGTGTTTGTTTCAGCTCTTAAAGAGTTTCAGAGGGTGTCGGGTCTGCCTGCCACAGGTGTGTTTGATGAGGCCACCAAGGTGGCAATGAACACACCGAGGTGTGGAGTCCCTGACAAGGAGATCGACCTGGACGCCCCCGTAGCACCTGAGAACAGCAGCGCCTTAGATGCCGAAAGCAGTGCAGGTGACACTCTGAACGCGACTGACGGCAACAACACATTAAGTAATATAACCGGCGACACTGCTTCTTTTGGTACCGCTAACCCCTTTGAAGATGACATATTCAATGTTAATGACACAGGAAGTGTTCTCACAGGCTTTTCCAATGACACCGGCATGAATTACACAGACGACTTTAACTTATACGATGGCATTTTAAATAGCACTTCTCTAAACGGCTCACACAATATCAACATGGACGGTCGAATGGCGAATACCGGCGCGAACGCCCGTCAGAGCAAAGCAGTGCGACGCAGGAAACATCACCTCGCCGCTCTCGTGTCCAAAAGCAGGCACAGGAGAGACTTGAGTGAAAGCGGTTACATGGCCTTTTCCAAGAGGGTGCTGAAATGGAGGCTGATAGGGGAAGGATACAGCAGTCAGCTGTCAGTTGAAGACCAGAGGTACATCTTCAGACTGGCCTTCAGGATGTGGAGCGAGGTGTCTCCCCTGGAGTTTGTGGAGAATGCACGTTCTCCACTGGAGGACATTGATATCAGGCTGGGCTTTGGCACAGGTAGGTCTGACCCAACACATATGATAATCATTACATATTTTCATTGTTTCACTAGACCTGCACATGTGAAGTAACAACTATCTACTGATCATTTTTTATTTAAGTTCACACAGAAACCAGCGCATTCTTGTTTGCTTTTGTTGTTTTTTTCAACTCATGCCACTATATTTCACACAGGAAGGCATCTGGGTTGCAACCAGAGGTTTGATGGCACTGGTCAAGAATTTGCCCACGCCTGGTTCCTGGGTGATATACACTTTGATGACGATGAACATTTCACCGCTCCCAATGCTGGCAGCGGGATCAGTCTACTCAAAGTAAGCACGATAAAGGGAATCATCTGATGTATAATGGAAAAGAATAATAACACATTTTTTTAATTTCCTATTTGTTAGGTAGCAGTTCATGAGATCGGCCACGTTCTGGGTCTCCCCCACATCTACAGAGCTGGCTCTATAATGCAGCCCAGCTACCTGCCCCAGGAGTCAGGCTTTGAGATGGACTGGATGGACAGGAAGGCCATACAGCACCTCTACGGTACACGGTTACAGCACCATCTAGTGGATACCTACACACAGAGCAGGACAGAAATAGATTCAGTTTTATTTACATACTTAATAGATTGACACAAAGGAATACGGTGTCTTCAATGTGCTTGTGTTTGAACTCAGGGGGCTGTAAGGGTCGATTCAACACGGCATTTGACTGGATCAGAAAGGAGAAGACGCCCTACGGGGAGGTGGTCATCCGCTTTAACACCTACTTCATAAGAGACGGCTGGTACTGGCTGTATGAGAACAGAAATAACCGAACGCGCTTCGGAGATCCAGTTGCCCTGCAGGCTGGCTGGCGTGGAATTCCCATGGACGGAGTGGATGCGTACGTGCATGTGTGGTCCCGAAAAATAGATGCTGTTTACTTCTTTAAAGGTAGGCCCCAAAAAAAGCAGCACTAGCCTACAAATGTAAATACTGTATGAACCACGAAGGTAACCATTTTCATAGCATATCCCCAAAGATATTAGTGTAAAGTATTTGGTGAATGGTGTTTTTTGGTGTACAGGTACTCAGTTCTGGAGGTATGACAATGAGAACGACCAGGCGTTCAGACAGGACCCTGAAGGTCACCACTATCCCAGGTTAATCTCTGAGGGTTTCCCAGGGGTCTTCGGTCCCATTGACACGGCCTTCTATGACAGGAGGGACTCTCGCATCTACTTCTTCAAAAACACTCTTGTAAGAATTGAATCCTCATCTTCATCTCTTTAGTACACGATAACGGGGGAGGTGTGTGGAAAACACATGGATGTGATGACACATATCAATGGTTTCACTTTGCATCGATGATATTTGATTGTTGATTGCAGAATCGATATATTGATCCAAATGAATGCATCGTTATACCCTTCATTTTTATCTTACCGCTAATAATTTTGTGGCCCTGTGTTGTAAAGGGTAGCCTCTGTCAAATCATAATAATAATAATTAATAATCCATAAAGTTGTGTTAGTCAAATTACCAAAAACTAATTGACATTCTGAAGGCCTGGAGCCTATTATTAGAGCACAGGACTACTTGTTGGTTGCTGGCATATTATTAAGCTGCCATGTATAGCCTGCTCTGTGCAGGCGGGAACAAAAAGGCAACGAGGTACAAGCATAATACACTGAGTATTAAATATGTATACATAAGCAAATGTCTTGGCGAGACCAAAGCCCGAGCTAATTCATTGTTCCTCAGCATTGTGATGGAACATATTCATGCAAACAAACCTGCTACACTTCCTCTGTGATTTGTTTGCGTGTTGTAATTGACTTGATTTCTATATAAGAGAGAAACCAATCATCTGTTCAAACAGGTGTATGCATTTGACGTGGAAGCCAACAGCTTGGCAAGAGGCTTCCCCGAAAACATCAGAGATGTTTTCCCTCCAGTGGTGAGCGGAGACCATCCAGATGGCAACATCGATGCATCATACTTCTCCTACACCCACAATGCCGTCTTCCTCCTCAAGGGCGCGCGCTTCTGGCAGGTGTTGGGAAGCCGCGATCGCTGGCGCCGGCCCTTTCTGCCACGAAATGGCCTGCTGCCGCACAAGGAGGTGGATCGGCACTGGTTTGACATCTGCAACGTTCATCCCACTGCACTCAAACTAACCCGCTGAGTTTGCTGAAGCAGAGATTCATTAAACCCCACTGATGTGCGCTGATATGGACAACTGATTCACCTGTGGTGGTATGTATACATGTTGTCACATGCGTGTAGACATCCTCTACTTTAAAAAATATATATATTTATCCATAATTTAAGATCTTAAAGACAAAAACAACAGAATATGTCTGTTTGCTTACTTTTAATGAGGTCTGTCTGATCTCAGCACATCTGCACTGAATGTACGAATCTATCACTTCCCTCTAAATCAACTGCAGAAACTCCAATCTATAGCTGCCTGCAAGCAGGAAAGAATATCACGTCAAGTCAAATTTATTTATAGAGCTCAATGTCACAAATCACAAATTTGCACCATGATTTAAAAAAAAATCCCTTAATGCTCTGATTCATCCCTAGCAGTGCAACAAGCTTACGGTCTGACCTGGAAGAAAACAATATAAGCTTTATCAATAAAAACCTGGAGGTGGTGGAACATAGTGATCCGTTTCTTTGGAATTCCTTCTTGCTATGAAAGGTTAAAGATTTACACGCTTTACATTTTAGATTTACATTTATCAATCAAAACAGACCCTATTGAAATTAAGATTGAAGCAAAAATGATTGAAAGAGCCACTCACTTACTTGATGCTGTTCCATTTTACAGAAATCATTTGAGCACGGTGCAAAGAAACAGACATCGATTCTGTAATCAATATGTTACTTGAACACTCTTATTAACTCTTATTAAGCTCCTGGTGGACTCCAGATAACTAGCGTTGTGCTCCAGGCGCTCCATAGGCGCTATATTAATAAATTGAAGTAGAAATCAATTACAAGCACAGGAACAAAATGTCACGGTAATTGGGGCTACAGAGACGGATGTCATGAGATGATGAATCTGCTCTCGCATGAACAGAATGAGCTTTCTGTGAAAGGCATCAGCAGCGTACAAATAAATATCTTTGTGCATCTTTTTTTCTGTGGATGTGTGCTTGTCATCTTCAGATAATATTCCTTGTAATTTTCATCTATAATTTAAGTAACTAAATATCACTGGGTATCATGTCTGGCTTCTTGGTTCAAGTCCACTTAAAAATGTAAAGATTTAATTTTGTTATTACACTATTTGCAGGCAAATTATCCCTCCGAGAGAACTAATAAGCATCCCGTAATTCAGTGTGAAGTCGCATTTGTTTGACTATAATATGCCATATGTTTGTTGCTACAGTATATTGCTCTTTGGTTGACGTCCCAGCAGGAAATATTGATAAACTAATATTGAATCC